CTGTCCAGGGCAAAGGCTGGAAATTAAAATACCAGCTAAGCAAAGGGCAGACCTGCACCATGACGGGGCCCTAGGAATGAAGAGGAGGGACCGGAGCAGAGACACACCGGGCTCAGCAATTCTCTCTGGGGTGGGAGAAGGGTGGGGGAGACTGTCAGCATGACTCAGAGGGTTCCAGCTATTCATGGAAAGAGGAAAAGAAGGAGGAGGAGGTTTTGTGGAGGAAATCACAATTTGTGTCACTAGACCTCACTAAGAACATCAGCGTGGCTTGTGTTCCTCCAAAACATGTTGCTCATCAACTCATGACCTCTTCGCAACACCCTTGTGGTAAATGTTAAGAAACTATACTGCAAACAAATGTTTACAGGTCATCAACCTGTGCGTCCCTTTTCAGCTTCCCACCAGTCTCACAGTATGAAACACTGAATGCTCTTTCCAATTAAAGCTGAATCCAACCTGATAAGGCACCTGCTAAGGACCCGGTGGCTTAACCTGCAGCCTTGTACTCTCAACTTCACAATTTTCAGGGACACTCTACAACTGTGTAGTCTTTTCCATCTCCGTCCTCTGAGTGTTACCTAAACTAACACCGAAAACAGTAGCATTTCCTGGCACCCGGTATCCATGAGACTTTGCTTTGAGAGTGGGCCTCAGTGGAGGAATGAGTACTACCGAAGCAAAGCTGTCTTAGTATGCCATCTTCTGTCACCTGTCCACTATGCCAAAATGGGGCCAGCTCACCAAACGTTTGGTGGTCTTCCTTAGTCAGAAGACTTTCAAAATTTACTTTCACTTGACTGCAGCCTTCTTACTTATAAACCCAGACTAATTTCTTTGAAGGCTTCCTTGCTAATTGGCTTAGCCATTCCTACCCATAGATCAGTCTGCACAGTAAATAAAACACATGCTTCTATTTGAAATCGTTTCCTAGGAAAAAATGACATTTATGTCACCAAACAGGCAACTGGTATACAATAAAACAGAATTTTGCTTAAGCAAATCAACTTTGTCATTAATGGCAAAAAGCTTATGTTTGGAACTCTGTCTCTATAAGGACTTGCTGAAGTCAATACCTTTGAAAATTCTATATCATCTATGGATTTTTCCCTAATTTCATGTAGTTACATGTTCCCTATGGGATAAGAACTGGAGATGAAATTTTTAAGGTGGGAACTAATAACCAAACAACAACCAAAAACTGAGCACAAAACTATATTATTTTGTGGGTATCCAATAGACATGTGATTAAGAGTCCAAGAACTTTGCTATATTTATTTATATTCCTATCACATTGTTGGAAAGAAGTAAAAACCTGCGACCAATTACCCTAACTTCCCAGAAATTCTTTCTGCATGTGACAATATTTTGACAAAGATCATCTTTTTATTCCTGATAATATGAATGTTATTAAGCTCAGGTGTTGACACTAAGTATTTTCTTCCTTAGAATAAGGTCAAGTGATCAAATGAGCTTCTCAAGCAAAATCCTGAGCAGAAGTACCCAAGGAAGCCACATTTAGTGGAGAAATTCTATCCAAACTTCCACTGATTTTCTGTTAAGGTAAAAATAATGGGGATTGAAATGCAGGTCAGGACTACAGTATACCATAATATACCCATTCAATTGGCAAAGTCATTACTGACAATACCAAGTGTTGCAAAGGATATAGCTCAACAAAATCTCATTAATTGCTGGTGGGAGTACAAATTGGTACAATTGCTTTGTAAAACAGTTTGGCATTATGTAAGGTGAACAGTCATGTTTTGTACCACCCAATGATTTCACCCAAGAGGAACTTCTGCACATGTATGAGAATTTTCATAGTCATCCATCAAGAGAAAAATGCATAAATAAAAGTGGTATACTCACATCCTATTATAAAGCAGTCAAAAATCATATCTGTACAAGACCATTTTTCATAAACTTTAAAATAGTTGAAAAGAATGATATGGCTTTTCAATTGCATGTAGATGAGATAAAACTAAATAAAAATGTAAGAAAGGGGATGGTGAGCAGGATTTGGGATGCTGCTTTTCCTGGACGGGGGCAGGCTGGAGGATGAGATGGGCAAGGGAGCATGAGGAATTTGTGCCCACATCTTCTCCAAACACCGGGCTTCATTTAGTAAAAAGAAACTTAGAAAGTGGTCTTTCCAAAAGGGTAGCTAGAAAGAGAAATGACCTCGATTCCTTCTCCACCAGCCACATCACCCCAGCAGGTAAACCTGAGTCTACCTGGCCCCTAAGGAAAGATCATGAACAAAATTCTTTCATTCTGTTTTCAGCTTACAGACACCTCTATTCCAGCCACATACACCCAGAGAACTACTGAGAGCTGGGGACCTGGGGAGTGTGGCAAGAGATAACACACATGTACGGCACTGGGCACAGACAGATTCCTGGGTTACCCACCCTGCTGCTGTTAGGATCATGAGCAACAGGCCTGGAGGCAACTCAGTCCTTGACCCCAGCAGGCAGGATGGCCATGTCTGGTCTAGAAAGTGGGATTCAGGTCGGAAGAAGGGACAGGAGAGCAGAGTCAAACATCTGAAGTGCTGAGAGGCACAAGGAGGGGAGGACCAAAATGTTTTCCAGAAGGCAGAACTGGGTGGGGTACATGGGAAGAATGGCAATTGGGCTCCGTCTCAGGCTTTTATGCACATGGAGACTTACTCAGCTCCAGTGGCGTGAGTCACAGCCAAGAAGCCTCTGGGTAAGCCACTGAAGCTCATTTGGCCTCAGTTTACCTTCCAAAAAATGGGAATAAGGCCATCTGCATGGCTGGCCTCACGTGGGGATTACACGAGAGCACAGGGCTACAGATGCTAGGAATCATTCATTCCACCCAGGTGAGTCAAGCAACTACTCTGCCCACCTGGAATCTAAAATGTGCAAAAACAAAACTACAGAGTTGGATCGTGCCAAGTGCACACACAAGAAGCTTGTTTCCACTCCCTGTCCCCCAAACCAGTATTTGTTCCCATAACCTTATCAACAAGCAATAAGAATTTTTCTTAGTTACCCAGACCATCTGCACATTTGAGATAACTTTGAAATGTCAACTGTCTATACATAGTTATTTTAAAACTATGAAGATGGGATACCTTTGCTCTTCCAATTAAAATAAAACAACAAACAACAGAAAAACGCATGAGGTTAGGTTTTACTTCTACTAGAATGAGGTCTTCCTGCTGCTGTGGGACCCAATACTCCACAACATTACCTTGACTGCACAGGTTAGTAGTGCCTGGTACAATACAGATGGCTCAGAAATGTTATCTCAAGGATGAGTGGGTGGGCCTGAGGACACACATCTGGGACAGGCACACACTGTGGAGTACAAAAAGCCCGAGTCAGCCTCTCTCTCCATGGCCTATAGGGCTGGTGACTTCTGACAAGACACGTCCCTCTATCAACCTCAAAAGTGCTCATTTGTACAACAGGATAATCCTGGAATCCGCCTCACAGTGTGAGTGTGAGGATGAAATAAATGAATGTAACATAAAACAGCACATATGGTCCACAGCTGACAGGCACTGTTAACATCCTTTGCCTTTAAATAACACAGTGATACTTCTTTACAGCAGATCACTGATGAACCCCAATATTGAATGTTTTGGTGAAATGCTTACATACCTGATAGAGTGTGGTAAATGGGATAAAAAACACCCTTTGGAAAAGGATCTCTTTTTGCTCAGTCACCTAACTCTAAGAACACCATGTTCTGTGTGACCTTATGGCACAGCTGAGTGGGTCAAAGGGCACCAAGACACCACATGAGAAGGGTGCATTAGAAACACATCAGCTTTCTGCCTTGACAGAAATTAAAGATGGTGACCCCATTTTGGAGTGGGAGCCATCACTTAAGTTCAGTGGAGCTCCCAAATTCTCAGGGGTATCACAGACTCAACCATCCTCTAGAAGCTACATCCCAAAAAGGCTAGAAAGGACTACATCAACCCTCTGGTGGGTGACTTGGAGGGGTACTGCCTGGCCGAGTGAAGTGAGCAAGGTGACCTGAGTGTCAGCAACAGTAAGGCAGGGCCCTCCTGTCTGCAACGAAGAGAGCCGTGGCTCCCAGACTGTGGTCCAGAGGAGCATCACCTGGGACTTGTTAGAAATGGCAAATCTCAGGCTCCTCCTAGACCCATAGCATCAGAAACTCAGAGAAGGACCCAGCATTTTGTGTTTCAACAAGCTCTTCAGGGAATTCTGATGCGCCTCAGGTTTGAGAACCAATGGGATAGAGCAATCTGCTATCCCAAAGTTTAAACCAACCATCCCCAGAAAACACACCGAGGCAACAGCCATTAAGAAAGGAGAGAACGCTTTCAGCATCTTTCCCCCTTCAGCCATTTCAGTGGGCAGACAGTACTAGCTATCTCATCACTGGACTTCAATTTTGAATCCCATGCTGCTGCTGGAATAAGGAAGGTGACGCTTCCTGATTCTCCAAAGAATGCCCAGATGGGCTCCTAAAGCACAGGAGCTGTGTCTCACCCATCTGTGAACCAGCAGGCATTAGGACAGGTGGGAAATAAACTGAGCAGCCAACTGAGGGAACAGACAGTCCTCCCCACAGCAGGTCCCAAGTAACTGGTCCCCCTCAATCCCTGACACAATGATCTTAGCTGCTGAACCAGAAAGTTCCTGGATCAGCTGACTCTGGCTAGCTGCTCTGGTCTCCACAGCTACCAAGACCAAAGGGGCCCTGAAGCCCCACATCACTCCCTCACTCCACATCTCTGCTCACTCCGTAAACTCAAGCTTGCCAGAGGTCATGTCCACAGGGGACTCCCCGGCCAGAGGTGAGAGCCCCAGCCCTTGGGGGTAGTCCATTGGTACTATTTCTCCTGCTAGAGTGCATGTTCCCAAACATCCTTAGGCTAGTAGCAGTGTCCTCCAACCCTGGATGCCCTCTGTTCACCGTCAGGGCAGCATCACCACCCTTCAACCTTGGATGCAGTTACCCCACCTCCCCACCCTGCACTTTCATACCTGTAGTAAGACAGCAGGCCGTTGCTGAGCACGAACCAGCGGCGCTGGTAACCCTTCAGGTAGTTGGTCCACTTGAGGAGCCAGCCCTTGAAGCTGTCCAGAGGTAGTAAGGCAATCGGGACAGTGGAGGTCACACCAGACCCTGACATTGGAACCCCAAGAGGTGTCCTCCCCTGTCCAGGTCGCAGAAGAGACGGGGTCTTTGACGCTGGCGGCGACCCTGAGTCGGATTTGGTTAAGGGCAAGTTCCCCACCACTGGCTCCAGCGCCGGTAGCTCTGATGAGGCCTTGGTGAGGAGCCCGGCACCTCCACCTGAGCCCAACTCTTCCCCGGGCGCTGACGCCGTCCCCAACCCCGGCAGCAGTTCCACTGCTCCTGTGGACGCCGGCCTTGATTCAGATGTCTTCTCGGACTCAGTCTCCAATCTTGGCGGCGGCTCGGAAACCGGCTCCGACACCTGTTCTGACACCGGCTTCGCCGCGGGCTGGGGCAGCGGCTTGCGCTGAGGCTTGGGCTCCGGCGCGGAGCCGGGCCCGAAGGAGCTCATGCTCGGCGCCGCCGTGTGGCAGGACAGGCAGGGGACAACCGCGAACAGCGACGAGAGCCCGCGGGAGCGGCCGCCGCAGCCCCCGCCGCGGCACGGAGCGGCCGCTTTACCCATGGAGCCGGCCGGCGAGAGCGCGCCGGAGCCGGGGGAGGGGAGGCGGCAGGCGGGGGCCGGGGCGGGGCCGCGGCGGGGCCGCCGTCCCGAGCGTGCGGCGCGAGGCGGGGACGCACGCATTGCCCGGCGCGGCCCGAGCCTCCCCGTGCGCAGCCGGCGGGGCTTGGATCCCGGTCCCACTCTTGTCGCCAACGCTCGACTCTGGGTCTGGCCCTCGGAAGGCCCCTGGAAACACCTGTGGGGCCAGAGCTTGGAGGGCGGGCGGCGCGGAAGGGACGGCACGCTTCAAGCCACCATCCCTGCCTGCGCCCCAGGCCGTGCCAGGCGCTGGGGGAACAATGCTGAATGCGGAGCCCGCCGGCCCCCAGCGCCGACGCTCCCGTCGGGGATGGGTTGGCTCCTCGGAAGCCAGGAAAGCGGGATGGGTGTGGAGGAAGCAAGTGCCCCAGCGCTCAGAAACCACAACATGCGCCGCAACGAGAGGCCCAGCCAGATGACCCTCAAAGTTAAGAAGGCTGCCCACCGCCATTACCTGTCTGTGGGTTCTGCCTGCGGCGACCCGGCTGTATGGCCCTAAGCCACCGCCGCCTCCACCTCCTGGGTGAGCTGGCCTCTGGTACATGCCAGGACACTTCGCTGCAAATGGCCACATGGTTCAGCGTCTCTAAATGAATGGAGAAATATTTTTAAACGGTGCACTTTAGTACAAAAAGGAACACATCTAAAAGCAGAGTTCTTAACCTGGACCTTCTGGATATCCCTTGGGCATCTTGGCTGGCAGTCTGTGAAGCTTCTGCATTAGTCTGCAGAATTTTATGTGTCTGTGTGTTTTTCTAGGAAGAAACTCCATAGTTTTCATGGGATTCCCAAAAAGGAGTCAGTGATTGGAGAAAAGTTAAGAATCACTGAATTCAAAGAATCTATCCTAAAGGGAAAGGTCAATGGTTGCCACAGATATTCAGAAATACAAGTGGAAATGTTGAATCTTGGGTTTCCAAGCAGACTCCTCCAGTTCAGGACCTCTGTTCAGGCTCTCCTTCGCTCATCCCAGCATCTTACCCTCGCTTCACCCATCGACCATTCCTGATTTCCTGATCTTTATGGCAAGTACTGCCTGTGCAGGGATCAGCCTCCTCTGTGAAGTGAGCTGGAGCACAGCAGGCTGGAAGGTCCTGGAAACAGTAGGTGCAGACATTCCCCTAACAAGTCCCTGCCATCTTTGCTGGTGATGAGGTAGGTCAGGGACATGGGGCAAGCATCATGATTAATTTTTTCCTGCCTATGATGAAAATGCCAAGATATAAATAGTATAGTAAGAACAGGAAGGACTCCATCTTGAGGCTAAGATTCCATTTTAAAAACCAGGGAGTTAGGAGGTAAGATTCCTAACACGCTTTATGGCATCAGCCAATAACTGGCTCTATCTTAAAGCAGGGCAAGTAGTCCTAAATAATATGGTCCCACTGCTTAAGGGTAACCACTACTGCAGAAGAACAGGATCAAGGAATTCCTTGTGTTAAGTTTATCTTACAGAATCCCTAGAGGACGATGGATGGTGACAATGTTTCTCACTGGAGATAGACATCATGAGAATACCTGTCAAACCTAGGCACCCCACCCCTACCTTTTGCCCCATTATTGAAAGCCTTAAAAGACAGAATCCTAAGCCCTTAAGTGCGCCTGCTCTCTGAGGTTGCTCACACTTTTTCTTCAAGTGTGTACTTTTTGCCCTAAATAAAGACTCCTCTCTCTGCTCAGCATACTGCACTTTGTGCTCTTCCAGTGGTTTTTGTTACTTCACTACTTCATTCTATTTTCTAGACTTAAGCACAAGTCTTCACACTCTCTGTCCTTCAGACTAGTAGCAGAGGGCTGCTGAGATCTCTGATTTGGGTTTGCAAGTTCCTGTCACCTGAGTGACCCAGACAGGACTGCAGCTGTACGGATCATTCTCTTTAGTAGCCTACCCCAAAAATCTCCTTTCTTTACCTTTGAGAAGTTCTCAGAACATCTTGCTTCATCCAGTGCACTGTAGCTCCCCCAAATCCTGGGGTGGCAGAGGCTTAGTTCCCACACTGTACAGACTTAAGCAGACACTGGATGCCAAGCGATTCTGGCTTCACAAGTTGGCCAGGGATTTGCCCTATGCCAGGCAGTTCAAATGAACTTCCCTTTCCTCCCTGTTCTTTCTTGCTCTCTGCTGCCTGTGTGGCTGCTGCCACCCACTACTACTCTCGCTTTAATGAATTCCTTCCTTACCTACATTCATCTGACCTGTTTGAGAATTCTTTCTCCATCAGAGTTAAGAACCCTCCCCCATCCAGGCTGCGGTTTCAGTTAGTGAGCAGGGAAAGACCTCCCCAGACACAGCTGTCTGACAAGAGTGACTCTGGGACCACTTCCTGGGGCACCTGCCTCTGAATGGTTGTCTTACCTGCAGATTTTTGTGAAATCTGGAGTTCAGCGACCTGACCATCTTGTATTTTGTATTCCATAAATTCAAAGACGGTCCTCAAACTTCAGTGTGTTGAGTCAAAGAAAAGTGATTGCCTCTGGGGAGCAGTGTGTCGAAGAGAACTGGGCAACTAGGGAATGGAATGGGGCATTTGCTTTTCACCGTTTGAACCTTCATGAATGTTTTAACTGTGTCTGTTACTGCTATTTTTAAAAAATTATTTCAACTCACGCCAGGGAACCTTGTTAGAAATTGTTTCCCATCCCCATCTTCCTGGGATTCTGAGTCACTAGGTCTGAGGTGGATTCAAGAAGCACGCATTTTGACGAGCTCCCCAAAGGGTTCTGATCCCCAGGGATCACAACTCATGGACCACACTTCGGTGGGCAGTGATGTGGAAGGGAAATCTTGGGCTTTGGGAGTCAGATCCACTAAGGAAATCTCAGCCCAGCCACTCCCTAGCTGTGGGACCTCCAGCCACCTCACTGAGCTTCCTCTTGCTCGTTTGTAAGATGAGAATAATAATCCCTACCTCACGGGTTGAGAGTGATAAACTCATATATGTAAAGCACATGTGGCATAGTAGGTGCTCTGTAAATATTCTCATAGTTATTTAGCTAGAGGGTGCTCTGTGAAATGTTTGGTGAAATGAATGACACAGAGCAGAAAGAGGTGAGACCAAGGTTGACAAGCTTGGAAAACAGCCACAACAATGTGAAAAGCTCAGTGCCTGCCATATAGGTGCCAGATGCGTATGCAACCCAGAGAGGGAAGGCAACTAGTAAATAAATGCTTAATGATATGTTCTGACTGCTGCAAAACATATGACAGGGCCTGAGTCACCTGCCAGAGTGGGTGAAGAGGTATCACAGAAAGGGCAAGGTTTGCACTGAGTCAGTCAGTGGCAGGGCCTTCAAGGCAAAGGAACCAGTGAGCACGAGGTCCCAAATCAGAAGAGAACCTTGTCTTAGAATTGACAAAAGAGATCAGAATATTTGAAAGACCAGGGCAGGAGATCGAATAGGGAACTAGGTGGACACCACACTCTCGGCAATGCCCTTAATCTTACAGAAAGTGAGTCTCCTGGACACAAGGGAGGTTTTCACTTTTGAAGTTCCGGACCCTACCCATTGGAGAAATGGCTGACCCCAAATCTGGGGCAGGAAATACGCAAGATGAGCCTGCCTGAGACATTCTGTCATGCCAGAAAGAAAAGAGGCTCTTCAAGATGACTGTGTGTCAAAAGGACTCAGAAGCTGACTTAAATCTGTCCCACTGGCCAAAGATGGGACAACTTGGGAAAAAAAAGGATCACTACAATGAGTCAAAACATCAAATATACAAAGATCCGTAAGTTACCCACAAGTTCCTAAAGTCACACACACACAAAAAAACTTCATTGATCACCTTTGGGGGTTACTCCAGCACCAAGTCTTTATTCTGAAAATGTATAATAAAGGGAAAGAATTACATCATATCCTGCCTCTCTCATACAAACTGAATCTCAGTAACCAGAGTTTAGGAGGGGAAAATCTTTGTAGAATTAGCTAATAATTGCAGAAGGAATAAAAGAATTAGAAGAAAACATCTTTCGGCAACCCCTAACTCAAGGTGCTCTTCAAACCTGTCCACCTGTGCAGTAAGAGAATAAAGACACCAGGCAGCTGCCCCCAGTCCCCAAAAGAAGCCCTGCCAGGGCTTTGAAGTATTATTTTTGAAATACTCTTCAAATACTTCAGAAAAAGCTAGAGTTTCAAGCTCTTGGCAGCTAGGAGGCTCAGGATAGCTGAGCCAAACTTGTGCTACAGAGCTGGTCACAGCCATCACTTACGCCTGAGGCCAGGCCTATGAGATGGCAGGCCCACTGTCCCCATGTGCCTGAGCCCAAGGTCACATTGCTATCCGGATAAGAACCCAGGCCTCCCAGCTCCCATCAGTCTTTGTTCAAAATCCAGACAAATTCTCTTATAAGCGTGTGGCCAGATACAAACACAGGCGCTGGTTTGTGTCTAATTTTACCCAACAAAGGAGATGAACCAGCTAACGGGGCAGCATGTAGCTAAGAGCACAAATTTTGAATGAGGACCTCTGCTCAAAGCCCAGGTTGGTTGCTTTCTGGATGTATTCCTGTGAGTACCTTGTAAAATGAGTGGGTAGGTTTCCTCTGCTATTATGCAATTAGGTCTGACTTACCTCAGGTCCCTTTGCTAAAGGAGAATATCTGGCTGGAAGCTCTGTGTGGGGCAGAATCATAAATAGCAAAGTCGGGAGAACTCTCTTCTGTGGTGCCAACATCCACAATGCAAACCCCAGCCGATCTTAGATATTTAACTCAGTTTCTTTGGAGAAGAGCCATACTGTTTTCTGCCTGGGAGAAACGTTACCTGCACTTTCAAACTTGAGATAAAGAGGGCAAGGTAGTGGGGTGGAACGGCCCCAGGTTGTGTGTTGAGTCTATGTTCATTTATTATATACTGAGTAGATACAAGACTATTGTAAAATATGTGTAGGGCATACGAATAACAATACTAGACACCCACAGGCTCACTCACCAGTTTAA